TATTGTGTAGCATAATAGCCTTATACCTGACTACATCCTCATTTCCATTGACTTTACCTTTTATTTATTAACACCACTTCTTCACATAGACCATGTCTCTCTCAATCACAACATGTGATCAGATCCTGCAACCGAGATGGATGTTTTTCTTTATCTGTTTTTCTAGTCTTGGTTGCTGAAGGTCAGTGCTCCAGACATTCAGGTGCAAACTCACCCCTGGGAACTATGCTTTTTCTGGGAAAGCTTCCTGAAGGTTAAAAGCCCCAGAATCCCAAAGCAGAGCTTCCTAGGCTGGGTTTTGTTGTGCTTTTGGCCAGAGCTGGCCTGCACGTGACATTTTACCTATCATGTAATGTGGTGAAACCATCCATTAATGTTTCCATTGCAACCTTCAGCACAACATTACTTAAGGATTTTTCTTCTTTTTTTTTGAATCTGTAGAATTATGGACTTGCTTTTTTTTCTAGGTTACAAACTACAGGATATCAGGGGTCTTGTCTTAAAGCATGCTTCAGTGTTTCAAAGATGCAGGTGGGAATTAAACTACTAATTGCAAAAGAGACTAGAGCGTTACAGCCTCAGGGAAATGTCTACACTGTTCAACACTCTTTGAAAACCTCAGACTGTGCTTGTTCCATAAGGGAACACCTTAGTGCCCTGGAAAACAAACCAGTGTGACTTACTTTCCCCACCCATGAGTGGACAGTATTGTTAATGTATTTTTTCAAAGCATTTGGGGGATAAATACTCTGCATATTTGGCATGTGGTATTATTTGGCAATGCCATTAGCATTTGGAAAGCATTTGCATCTTTCCTGTGATGATCAAACTCTTAATAGGCCTATAAAAATGCATATTTAGTTTTCAATCCACTAATTTTTGTATTTCTAAATAATGATATTTATAACATATTCAATGCCCAGGATGACTTCATGTCCCTCTACAAAGGGAAAAGCTATCAGACCCATTCTCCAGTGAGTTCACATAGAAGTGGATCACAGCTGCAGTCCCTAGGTGTGGGAGTTTCTGACTCATAGTGCATTTGGTGCTCCTTACCAAGCTCACAGCCCCTGTCCCAGTGTGGCACCCCCAAGTAAAAGGTCCTTGGCAAGGGGTCTGCAGGAGGGAATTCTATTGGATGTAGATTATCCTGGAACTCAGGGCCTTCTCTTCTTCTTTGTGACTGTGAGAACAAGGGGGACATTACTGAAATGAGATCTCTATTTCCAACACTGAAGCCAGGTTTTGGGGTAGGGCTGTAGACATTGTGACCATGCTGATGGCTGGAGTGTGGGCCAGATCCCATTTTGCCAGGACCACCTCATCTCTGTGGGGCTGTGCTTGTGAGACAGAATATCAGGTGATACTGAGTGATAATAAAATAAATGTCTTTATTTTTAATAGATGGACAAAACAGACCCAAAACCAGACAGTGTTTTCCTGAAATGCATGGACGCTATTGAATACAATACAAATGAAGTTAAAACATAGATATCTATATTATGCTTCCTATCTGCTTTGTTAAGTATAGTCTTAATATAGCATTTCTGACACAGACAAAAATATACTTTTTTTTTTAACTACATCCACAAATACTGCCCTGATTAGCAGCAGACTTACGAAAACTTACTAACTGCACATGGAACTTGACCAATACACTTGAAGGGCAGAAGGAAAATGAATAACAGTTTTTTTCTATGATACTTCTATTTGAACTCCTAAATTCTTGTACTATATGAAAATAAAACACTAAAAGTGACTTTATTTGATCCACTTAATGTTTACATTCAGTTCAGGTTCACAAAAGTATGGTTTGTTTATAATACGTATACCATCCCATTTGGACAAGTAGAGATGAAATAACTTTTTTGACATGTCAGCTATGTTATCAACTTTGATTTTATGAACACATCTCATGCAAAGGAGGAAAAGAACCCCTGTCAAATAAATGTTATTCACAAATGTGAAGAATATGAAAGTAAAATGTATGATTGTGTCATGAATATTTTATCTTAAAATTGTAGGCTCAGAAACAATAAACTCAGTGTCTGAAAATGAGCTGTTTGCTTCACTGATTATAAATCCAATTTACTGTATAGTACTACTGTCCACAAATTGCAGAAGGGGAGAAAAACTTATAATTCCTCTGCAAATAAAATCTGCTTAAAGAATCACATCCTGTTGGCATTTTGCTTGTGGAAGTAGCATAGTTTTTGTTTGTTTGTTTTGGTTTTTTGTTTTTTGCCTTTTTTTTTTCCCCACGGCTATCAATCACAGATATGGCCTTTGGTTATATGAACAGCTCTGTACAAATTTTAATGGTAGGACAGCTGAGCTAAGGCAATAAAACCTGTAAACAGACTTTACATGGGGCTGTTTGGTTTGGCTTTTGTAATCCATCCAAGCAGGAATACTGGATAAAATCGCATCAATTAAAAAAAAAACATTATATAGGATAGAAAGTGCAAAATATTCTGATAATATTGAAAGTGTCTGGTTTGAAATTTTTTGGGCTAACACTTATATTTTCCACCTACCTTTTTTTGAGCATTTTAAAGCCATTTATGTTTTTATGGCAACAATAAAAGAAAAATATTTTTATTTTTTAATCAAAATGTCTTAAATTATTCCAGCTCAATCCCCTTCTCTTTTCCTTTTTTCCCTTCCCATAACTGGGCATTTTGAAATAAATAATACCAAAATGTTGCTGTATTTAAAGCATCTGGTCACTATGCAGCATCTCATAGTGAAATTCTAGCAATTCCTGGACAAAACTGAGGTAAGAGAAAAGTTTTTAGGAAGGCCTACAGGTGACTGTAAAATGGGATCCTCTAACTTAATTTGGAACAGCAGCATAAGGCATTGGCTATGTAAGCAGGTAAAACTGTGACTTGATATTTTCCCATAAGAAGGGATTCAGACTAGTGGATTTGGGCTGAAAATGGAGAACAATTCAGCAGTGCCTCTGTTCTTCCCCTCTTTCCTCTATAAAGTCTATTTCCTTATCTCTCTTCTGTGGTTCATGGGGGAATTAAGACTGCTGGGCTCGTGTTTGGTTTGTGACACTCAGCACCCTGAATTTCACGGGTGGCCTATTAACTCATCTCACAGGAGTTTTTAATTTCTTTGCTATATTGGCTCTTCTGAGTTTTTACTGCATATCCTGGTTTTGATTCCCTCAACCCAGAGCACACTCCATATTGGTAAGCACAGTAGTACTGCAGGTCACAGTGTATATTCAGAAATGAGCTGCAATGTTATTTTTATATGCAGTGTAAGGAGAAAAAAAAATTAACCTCTCTGAAATGAATATTCCCTACATATTAAATATATATGTATGCTGTTAAGACTCCACAAAAGGAGCAAAACATATCTAAGGATTCAACCTTGTGAAAGCTTATGTCAACATTGAATGCACAAGTTGATGGCTTCTTCCTTTAGCAGCAAAATCTATTCTTACATCTTCTATCCTCCACTATAACTCCTCATGCTGTGAGTGTTAAAAAAAGAAATTTCACTGGTGACCAGCAACAGGAGGATATCTGGATTTCTACCGAACATTTTCCGTCATACACAGATTTTAAAAAGAATTATTGGAGCATAACCCTTAATTGTAGAGAAATGTAGCTACTGGAGCTCGCGCTGAGAAAGGCACATACCAATGGGGACAGACACAATCATCCTGGCCCTGGGCAAGTGGAAACAGCACTGCCTGTTCCTGCTGGCCTGGGCAAAGTCAGCAGGGGCCTCATCTCCCCACTTTGCTGCTTCTGGCCAGCATTGCCATTTGTGAGCCACGTCTTGTCTGCACCTGGCCACTGCTGCTGCTCTGCAGGCTCACTGAGACGGCCAGGAGGGCAGGGATCAGTGGAGGAGTCTGGCACTTAGTGGAAGACACCACTGTGCCTCTCACTGTGTGTGTGGGTTCAGCATTCCTTTCAGTTCCTCTCCAAGCTGCTTTCAGAGTCAAACACTTAGAGGTGTGGAAAGCTGTACAGCAAGCCTGGGTTTTTGAGAAATTTTTGAAGAAATGTTATTTTCTATGGAAAATCTGGATTTTTCAGAGTAATTCCAGCATGACCAAGCCAAAAGACTTTTCAGCATCTTTAAGAATAGCTTTTTTAAGTAAGTGAAAATTGGGAATTTTCTGCAAGGAAAACCCTCTCTCTTTCAAAGATTCTTGATTGTCTTTACTTTTCAATATTTATTCCATTGGTGAAGTTGCTTGGTGTCAGACTGCTTTGCTTGTGTTCATTTTGATGATGTCAAGATAAGTCTTCTTCACCCAACACCAAAAAAATCTATTTAGTTTGAGTTTTTCTATAAGAGCATTTTTCACAAGCTGAATTTCAACTCCAGTTATTGCTCTAAGAATTTTGGTGACAGTCACTAACCACAGAAAAAGAAAGAGAACACCCATATTAACATATTTTGCTTTAGGTTGCCTTATATCAGCTATAATATAATTTTAAACTGGTGATTTAATTTTAACTTTTAAAATTAATATATCATGTTTAGCACTCCTATAAGGAATTTATTACTATTTGTGCATTTTGCTGTCTCATACAAATAATAAATTACTAGATAGTATTATTTAAATTTCTTTATGAGGAAAAAAATTACCAGGCCAAAACCCCAGGGAATTTATCTATCTGTCTTTGCTCAAGCAACTAGCTCTTTAGAAATAAATCACTTATAGCTGTGGCAATATATTTGCACTTAATGCCAATAAAATGCTGAGTGATAATATTTCAGACTTACTGTATTATAATCTCTTCATATGATATCCTAGCTAAGAACTGTTGCACATTTTGTTCTACATATATTTTAAATATTTTTTAATGGTACAGTATATAGCTCTGGATGGAAGGAATGGGATTGAGTGTATACTTTAGTAAACACTCTGTGATCTAATCCAACATATTAGATAATAGCAGAAAAGAGTTCCTCCCATGAGATGCTCCTGCTCCTAGAAACAACTTAAAGAATGTGCAGCGGCATTTTATTCCCAATTCTTGCTTTTCTTCTGATAAAATGGTTCTTACTATTCTTTGTAGAATATCCTGCTTCTCATTGTTTTGCCTGGGGCTACAAGATTTTTTAATTATCTTCAGTGTTGGACAGTTCTGGACTTGAATCAACGTAGTTGAAGGCTTCCTTGTTTGTGAAAGTTGAGCTCAAAGTTAGACTGTGTCGTGGATTCACAGGTGCAAGTTCATTTAATACAATATTGTCACTTTTTACAAGAGTTGCTTTGTCCATGTGTTCTCTACTGTATCTGGCAACAACTGCATCAAGAAAGTCCAGCTTTGGTGGCAAAGTCCCACTTTCAAATAAGTACTTGGCTAAGTAGGAGACTATGACATTAGTAAAGAAGGAGGTGAGCATAGCAAGTGTTTTAAATGGGAATCTCTGGATATAGAGGTTGTTATCATCTTGGTACCAGCCCGGGTAGAAGATCAAGGGCTGAAGGTAGAGGTATGGCTCTCCTCCGGTTATTCTGAGGACCAGGCCAAACAGGTATCCTGCAATGGCACCGTAGGTGTTGGTTCCTTTAATAAATAACACACAGAGGAGCTGGGGGAATATGATGATATAAATGAGGTCAGAGCTGAGGTACCAGAGGCCGTACACTGATGAAGCCAGCAGTGCCATCGCTGTTGCTGATGCTCCAAACAGAAGAACAGTGATTCTGATGACCCACACAATTTCCCTGTCTGAAGCCTGCAAAAAAAGGGAAGTGTTAGGTGGTTTTTTCATGCCTATACATGTATGCCTACACTTACATACAGTCAACATAAAATACTGAATTGTAAAAGAAAGCTTTGCATGATTAATTCAATAATAATTACAAACTAATAACTCCAGCTCAATCTCAAGCTCAGAGATAAAACCTTAGGGGTTATGGTTGCCATTCCCAAAGCCACTACTCTTTGAACATAGCAAAAAGCTTGATGATGAATCAAAGAGAAAAAACAGCAGTGTAAAAAATAAATTTTAAATAGAATCACAATATGACACAACTAGAAAAAACCTGTTAGCATCAGAATTTCTTCTTCTCTGTTTCCTAAGAAAAGATCCAACTCATTAGACTATTCTGTTGTGAAATGATTTCCCAATAAATGAAAGATTAGAAAAATGTCTCATTTTGTGAAGAATTTATGTGGAACTTACACTTGTAGCAACACTAATTAGCTGTTTGGATAAATTGCATGTCCATGAGAACTCTTAACAGCTGCCCTCCCCAAGCCAGCTTTTTCACTTTTGTCATCAGTCACAATCACAATTATTTTTATGATTTTCAGTTTGTTCAACATACTGTTAGCAATTAAATTCTTTTTCTAGTTACAGGCAGGAACATGAAAGAGGTGTTTCATTATGAAATTATAGTCTGTGTATCACCTAGTGAAGATCTCACCTAAAATTTTCTCTAAAAGTAAAAATGAAAACATTGTCTCACATTTTGCCGAAAGGCAAGCTGGTAAATGTTCCGAGCAAACATAGAACTTGCTGATAAAATTGAGGAATCAGCTGAGGACATCACAGCAGCAGACACGGCACCGAGGCCAAAGAACGAGATGTAGACCGGGCAAAGGTACTGCAGCACGATTGGCAAAATCATATCTGCTTCTTTTTTGCTCTTGGGGTCAGGGACACCGTATTCAGTCTGGTTCCAAGCTGCAATATGGACACCAGTATGTTATCAGTAACATTAGCAGCCACAGCACCTCTTGACTTCATAAGTAGCAAGCTATTCATATTGCCACATTTTCAAGCACATTCAAGAACAAACTGCTATTAGGGCCAGACCAATGGCATTTCAGAGAGGCAGTGTCACACCAGTTTCTGTTAGGCAGATTTAATTCTGCTCAGCATTTTTCTTTGTCTCTAAAATAAACTTTAAATTGCTCATAAATGTAGTTTTATTCAATAAAATAAGTCTGGGATCCATGTTTTTTTCTGATGTGTTTAACTACTCTTTTGGATTACAAATGGGTCTCAAAGCAATGTAAACATTTCTAACAGAATATTTTTAGCAGTTTAGCTACACAGTCACTGTGATTGGGAGCACTCTCACTATGACAAAAAAACCTTGGAAAGGATATATTGGTCAAGCTAAGAAATTTCTGATAAATCAAAGAATCATTTAGGTTGGAAAACACCTTTATGATCATTGAGTTGAACTATTAGCCCAGCACTACCAAGCCCATCAATAAACCACATCCCCAAGAGCCACATCTACACCTATTTTAAATAGCTCCAAGGATGGAGAATCCACCACTTCCCTGGGCAGCCTGTTCCAGTGCTTGACAAACCCTTTGGTAAACACATTTTTCCTAATATCCATTCTAAACCTCCCCTGCGGCAACTTGAGGCAATTTCCTCTCATCCTGTTGCTTGTTATGTGGGAGATGCACCTTGCTACAACCTCCTTTCAGGTAGTTGTAGAGAGCAAGTCTTCCCTCAGTCTTTTTTTCTCCAGGCTAAATAACCACAGCTCCTTTGGCCATTCCCCATTATTACTTTAACAACAAATAAAAGTACCAGAATCTAACACAAAGATTGAAGTATTGTGTCTGTAGATATCTAGAATGTACAAAATTATTTAATTTCATCCACTGTGGTAGGAGCAATTTCCTTTGGGAGAAATATTCTATAACATTATTTTTCTGTCTAGTCTTCTGTTGAAGCAGTCATGAGTTGAAAAATGATGCCACCTGGTTATCTGACCTATATGTCACCTATATCTAACACAAGATTTATTTTTACACACTTGTTGCAGTATTCGTTTTACATTTATTGTACTACTGACTTTTAACCATTTACCTGTAGATGCTCCAATTGCACCAATCAGCACTGCAGGAATAGCCATCACAAGACAGCCAAAAGCAGCCAGGAATGACAGAACTTGAGCATATGTGGCAGAAGATGAGGAAAGAACTCTCTGGAAATATGCTTGCCATGGAATTCCTCCTAATGTCTGCAAACACAACAGCATGCTGTGACTGGGGGGTAGCTGAATTGTTTTACTATCACCATACAGAGAACATGCACAAGGGTCACTTGAATGCTGAAAGCCATATTGCTACTTTTTCATTTATTTATTGAATATCAGCCAGCCAGTAATAACTGCAACTTTCATTCTCACAAGCAATGTCAAAACTGTGTAAGTCCACTTAAATCCCATTCTTTTAGACAAGTTATTTTTTATACAATTAGCATCAACACTTGCACTTTCATAGTCTGTGTTGTCCCCAAGTCTTTTGACTTGATAAAACTTTATGGAAAGTAATATTTTCATATTTCATATTTGAAGAATTTACTCTCCAATACTCCTCCTCCACTAAAATTAGATTAGACTCTGACATGATATCAGAGCAAGATTTTATCTTCCTTTGTGAATGCGTGTAGTCATTCAAAGAAGGTGAGACATTCTGTATACACTGAACTCAAGAATCTGAGAAATTATTCTCCTACTGCCTTAAGCAAATAAAATACCAATAGAAATTGGTAGAAGACACAGGTAAAAAAAAGGAAAAATTTTGATTTATGGTGAAAACCCTTCTCTTTTATTTGGATATGTAACTGAAGATCCTGATTGGACTTAAAATTATTTCTGCAAAATATAACACAAAATAGTATTACCAAAGGCTGAAAATTTGAGTGCTAACAATTCTGTCTTGAGAGCAGGATTTGAATAGTCTTCACTAAGTAACCAAGTGTCTGTCTCTAAACAGCATGGACAAAAAGCCAAGCAAATTTTATAGCCTAGTTCTATACACTAAATGAGGCAGGAGGCATTTGGACCAGAAAGTGTGTATACAGGTGTTTCATATAGCTTCATGCACACATAGGGAATAAATTAATATTTCACAGACAAGTTTGGTTTTGACTTGTTATTTATGACTGTCTTTCTTTGCCACCTTGATAATAATGTTAATTTATCAAAGCTTTCCAAGAATGTGTAACTTTCTTGAGCTATAATGAAACAGACAAGATGACAAGAAAGTGTGTCATAATTTGGCAATATCAGAACTTTCCTTTGGTCAACAGCAGAAATGAAATCTTCAGGCTTACAGGAGAGAATACAGCCACTTGAGCTAATGTCATACTTCAGGTCTCTGAGAGAATGCTGAATAAAATAAGATGTTTTAATAGACCAATTATAAAAAAAAACCCTGAAGATTTTTGGCTGTGAGGATTTGAAAAAAAGCCAGAAAATGTAATCCCAAAATAAAACATGATAATAAAATGAGTGTAAATTTGCATTGGGACACTGAGAATGGAAAATATTAGCATGTGTTTCTAGATCCTCTAATGGAAAGTACTTAATAACCACCGATCCCATGTGTAATATAGGTATTAAATAATGAAAGACCATGGTTCATTCTGGCATGTGTGCATGTATGAATTTATCCATCCTGCCATCCATCTCTGCACAGCTTTTTATTTCCCTATACCAAAGGCATATTTAATCATTTGTATAATGTATTTATTGCCTTCTGCAATATATGAATTCCTCTGCCAACAATTACATCAGTTAAGCATTAGCTGCACACTTTTATTTAATTTTAACATGTCAGCTCTTTCAGCCTGATGTTATTTAAATTGCATTCCTGGCAATGCTGGCTGATATGTCACTGAAATCATTCAAATGTGCAGAAATATCAAGCAGGAGTCAAGAGGGTAAAAGTTTTCAGTGTGATAGAAACTCTTAACTAGACTCCATCATTTTCAGCTGTCACAGTAACATGGTGTAAGTGCTTAAATGCTTTACTCCTTCATACAAATCACCACTTACCAGTAAAAAGAAATTGTCCAACCATGTGTAAATGTCAAGGGAGTTGATAGATCCAAGCCAAGGTGCTTGGTACACGTGGTGCACAGCCGTGAGCCCAATGTCTGTTACTGCAGGATGGGACATGGCAAAGGGGACACTGATCCACTGGAACCAAAGAGAAACAATGTGATCAAGTCTAAAGATATTCTAAACCTGTGAAATTTTAATATTAACACCTTCTAGTTTTATTATTCTTGCTTGTTTGAATAAGATTGAATACCAAATTATCAAGATGATTTGCAAAAAGTCAGATTATGTGCAGGTGGAACATTTCTGAAATCCAGAGGGCTTGGTAGTGAATAACTCACGTGTCCTTGAGAGTGTGAGCAAAGAATAAATGGAAACTGCAAAAGCAGAAGCAAATACACATTTATGCAATTTTCTTCTGTTTTACCTAACCTCCTCATACATTGTTTACACTCTTTCCTGGACCACCAGACACTAGAGGAAGGAGCAGCAAAGCTCTGTGACAGTGGGAATAAAAACTGCTCCAGAGTCTGGAGGAGAAGCTGGGATAACTGAATCTGTGCTCTCCTCTACTGTGACATCTACTGTGAGAGGGTCCCATCTGATCTCAACCTGCCTCCCTAGAGCATGACCACTTAGATACTGACTCTTCAGCCTCACTGATGACACTCTTGAGTTCATGAATATGAGTTCTTCAGCACTACATTATTGCTGTTTATTTCAAATGGGAAATTACTTAAAGAGCCCAGCCTGAATTAAACAAAACACTAAAGAGCTATAGATCTAATAATTTAGAAAACTTCTGTACAACCTTCATTTGCTTCCCACCCCCCCATCAGGTTCACACTAATTTTTATGCTATTCCTGCAGGTTCAGGCTCTCTAGTGGTTCATGAGTGGATCACGCTGGAAGACAATTTCTGTACTTTGATTTATCTCCAGTTTTGGGAATTTCTGTAATGCATGCCATCTGTAGAAACGTAATGTCTCACAAATATTAACATTTATGTTAGGGAAAGAGTATTTTCCCCACTGTACAGATGAAGAAAAAAGATATGAGGGAAGAAAGTCTGGAATAACTTTTCATTTGAGGTGGCCAGCTGGAACTTGGATTTACTTTTTCAGGCTATTTAGCACCATTTCCATTAAATCACTTAAAGGCCATAGTCCTCACAGTAAGATGCCACAAAGTAAGCACACAGAGAGCTGGTTAGTGACCACCTGTGTAAGCAATGGCTGAAACAATTTTCCTAGAGCTGCACAAGAACTCTGTTGAAAGCAGAGAAAGAACACCAGGCCTCCAAGGTTCCCTTTGATTCCTCCGTCTTGAGCCACTCCATTTATTTTAGCATATCTCACTTCTCTGCACACCTTTGACTGTCAGTTTCTGCCACTGGCAAACAAAGCCAGCAGCTTCTTTGATTTCACCCTTGTGATCAGTATCACACTGATGTTTTTCAATATGGGGCTTAAAGAACAGCATAAAATAAAAGGCTACCCACTGGCATATCATTGATAGCTGATGAGGGATATCCACTTCCACACTAAAACAGCCAAGACATCTGGTGAGACTTCCTATATTATGGTCTCCAAGGGTGGTGGAGGGAAATGAGGGAAAAGCCAGGAAGATTAACTAAGTTAACAGGAGGTTAACTAAGCTGTGTAGGTGACAACCACAGAAAAGAGAAACAGTAGAGTATCAATTCTGCAGGTCCAGTGACAGAATTTTTCTACCAACAGCTTCGTATGTCTGATGCCTCCTGCCAGTGTCGCAGTCCTAAAGACTGACAGGGAAGGAGTCAGCACCAGTTCTATTCTGAGTTAGATGTATACTCCAGAGGAAAATTGTAAGAGTGGTTGGACTGCCAGACTGGCTGGAAAAAAGCCAAAGAATCAGACCTCTTGGATAGCACTATTTCCCAAGTACAGGCTGTACATTGATGCAAATGCAAACTCTTTTAAAGTCAGCACTCTGTGAGTCTGACTGGTTAGCAATGCTGTGCCTGATACAGCCCAGGACACACTTGGCCCTTGTAGCTGCTCAGGACAAAATCCTTGACAAAATAGGGCAAAAAAAGCCAAACTTACCAGTCCCAGGAAGATGCAGAAGAGCTGAACTACGTCGGTGTAGGCCACAGAATAAACCCCACCCACAAGTGTGTACAAAGTGGCAATCAGGGCAGAAATAATGACTGAAATATTGACATTAATGTCGATGATCACACTTATAGTCGCACCTAAGGGGAAAACCAGAGCGCTGGGTGTTAGTGTGTGTATCACAGCATGTGTGATGAGAGCCCCACCTTTGTTAAGTTGCATATATGGGTTCTGGACTGACACTTAGTAACAGCATTAATAATTACCCTCTATATTCTGCACACCCTTTCTGCACCTTTAAAGGGAATGGGAAAAGAGATGCTCCTGTTGGTCTAAGCTTAGCATCTGTCATTTTGCGTGTTCTTAGGAAATTGAGAAGTGTCCCAATAGCACTTCCTTACGTTGCTCAAGGTCTGTAAGGACTGCACTCTCTTCTGTCTGTGAAAACCAGCTATGCCCATCCCTGATTGCCACAGTCTTCAGAAGGATACTGAGAATGTTCCTGCAATGCTGCCAGCCAGCTGCCACAGCACTTGCAGGATGCATCGCCTGAGGTCCCATGAAACTGTGTCTGTCCAGTGTATTTTAAAGTTTCCTCACTTGGTTCTCTTCCAGCAAGTCTTCCTTGCACTGGACTTTCCCAGGCTTCTCAGGGTCCTGGGATTCCTAAAAACTGATCTTGCCAGCAAAGAATTAAGCAGAAAAAGCACTGACTACATCAGTCTTTTCCACATCTTTTACCAGCAAGTGCCCCATCCCATTCAGCAGTCCACATCTGCTCTTGAGCATGGAGGAGGTGATTCCTGAATATGAACCAGTTCTGCTGGACTCCAGGACAGTCTCCCATGGGATTCTTCCCAGCAGAATGCTGGAGAGGCCCAGATCTACTCTTCTAAAGTCTGTGGTTGCAGTTGTGATATTTGCCTTGTTCCCCACTCTCAGGACCATGAGCTCCCCCATCTCATGAATATTGCTGCCAAATCTGCCTTTGACCTTTATACCTCTGACTTGTTCTTCCTTGTGTCTAAGGAACAGCTTCAACAGAGCACCTCCCTACAACAGCTCCCTGATCATTTGTGTCAAGAAGTTGCTGCCAGTGCACTCAAGAAACCTCCTGAACAGCTTGTGTCCTCCTGCTTGGCCCCTCCAGCAGCTATCAGGATGGTTATACATTTCCTTTTGATGTATCAACTATTTCAAACCATTGTGATGTTTTAAGACCATGTTTAAAAAATTCCTCTCCTCCTAATTAGGATGATTTCAATGAAACATCTTGCAACTACTTTTAGTGCTTGCAGTTATAGTAGATGGATATTCTGGAGAACATATTTGGAAGAGTTTTTGACTTAGAAGACAACATGATGTGTGATATATAAGAGCTTCTGGGAGCTGACAGATCTTTTGTGGCTTTTGCTGCACAATGAACCTTCAAAGTTCATGTGCTTAAGAATTACAAGCTCAGACCTCTTCCACAGCTTAATGATCAGTGTTTCCCATCTACAACCCTGCCAAGCAAGGAGTATGGATGAAGAGCAAGTAGTGAAGAATACTGGGATTAAACATTAATCAGTGAGGATAGGTGTGAAAAAGGAACTAGATTAATCACAGAATAGTTAAAATAAAAATCTTCAATGACCTTTATAATCATGGACAGTCTTTAACTGTTGGCTGTTATATAAATCTAGAAAGGTATTCACACCACTTGTGTTGAAATAAAAGAGAATGGCTTGTCCTTAATCAAAAATATAGCAAATACTCTGAGTGTTCTTCAAGTTATTCAACTCCTATCACCTCAGCATGCAGTTTTTTCTTAGTCTTTTAAGGATTTTGTGATGAAATTGTGGTAAACAAGCTCCCCATTGCTTTGCAGTCCATCAGAGCGCAGTTGGAGAGTACCTTCAAAGTTTATTTTTGTTGAAAATAGCTTATGCTAGAAGGCATTACCACATGCATGTGCATTATTAGTATGATTAGTTGGTAAAAGTCAATTACTGGTGCTTCAACTCAAGGGCTTTCTCTATTCTTAAAGGGGTTGCTAAATGCAGGCCTGAAATATAATTAGAAACCCTGGAAGCTGATTTTTTTCAGGACTGGATGAGTAGTTGAGTGATTTTCTATTGAGTCATAGTTTCACTAATTCTCCAAATCCTTTCTTGAGTATTTTCTTCATTTTGTCAAGAAGAAAGCCATTTAGAATTGAAGAATTCTTCAATTTATTGATCAGCGTCTGGTTTATTTCTATTATTTGTGTTATGGAATGGTCTGTACAAGGAGATCTCCTATATTCAAAGGATTATTTTGTTAAGATGCATTGGAAATGCTGTTACATATCATTAAGGGAAATTTTGACTGGGATTCTCTCATCCCAGAGATGTAAAAGAAAAGCTGGGTCAGATTTGACACAAAAGGGGCCCTTGCAATCACTTATGACACCCTCACTATTAACAGAAATTTGCTTCTAAATCCTTTCATGCTCTTTGAAGACATACAACTTAAAGGTATGTGAAAATTAATAGATACTTTGCATGTCTTTCCCTTATCAAAATAATTAAAGGGGTAGCATTAGTGGATTTATTTGCTAGTTAGCATGGGTCTGAGAAATATCACAGTCTGAATCACTTGCCTTAAATAGTTACCATTTGGAGCCAGAATTTTAATGCATTTCTGATATTCTTGATAGTTTCTACCTGTAATAAATTAATATTTATACTGCTTATTCCTTACCTAAGGCAGAGAAGATGGCAGCAGCCCAAAACATTTCTCCCATTAAAGCTGGAATGAACAGTAGTCCTCCCATCCTTTTTCCATAAAGCTGCTGAAAGGGGTCCAGCATTGTCACATAGCCTTTGGATCGCATGGGTTTTGCAAAAAAAAGGCCACCTACAAAGAAAAAGCTACGTAAGACACCAGCTGCAGTTCAGAAATGCATTACCATTAAGGGATAAAATGTTCATGGTCAGTTAAAGGTCCAAAATATCATCAATAGTATTTGTTTGTTTGTTTGTTTGTAAGTAAAAAGTACAGTAACAATATTCTCTGGAAACTCTTATTTATGTCTACAGAATTACTTAAACACACACTCCATTAGTTTCTAGAGTCTGATGATTTAAAAAAAAAGGTTTTTCTTATTTTTTCTGGCTCAGTTTATGTAATCTCCCATTATGGATGCTGTCAGAGTTTTGTCTAATTTTGGATTAGCCTAAGAGAATGGCTTTTCTACCTAATCCTGTTGATTCTTAGACTGGAATCCAGCATGAATTTTCACATACTCCTACTCTAAAAATAAAACCGTCTGAGATTCCCGAATCAGAAATAGAATTTCACATGTGGTTTAGTGCACACACAGCAAATCTGATTATTTCAGGATAATTCAGATTTATTTTGTATGTTTGGAACAACTTTACTACACCTGCAGGATATGTCAGAGGTCTTCTGAGTTCTGCCGGTGTCAGATTCCATTAATATTTCTTATACAGTTATTTCACTTATGTATGTTCAGGAATTTTGATATATCACTATTCTGCTCTGCCTGGCTGGTATATGGGCTGGATATGTACATAAATGTGCAAAGGCCTCCCCTCCTCAAATTCTTTCTGTCTTTCTATCTATCTGAGGAAAGCTGAAAGAGCCCTTGTATGGAAACCTGTGTAGTTGAGATCTGCACATGACTATCACCCAGTCACCACAGTAAAACTGCTGTATAAGGTATAATTACGAACTGGAAACCCTGTCAGTTCCCAGTAAGATATACTGTATGGCATTTGGCAATCCTTAATTAGGTTCCTCATGACAAGACATGTCATTTATTCATCATATTGTGCAGAAGATTTTTCCAAATTTCTATGTATTGGTTTTTGTAACTCATATTTCTTCATTTCATCAAGTTCCCTGAACAGAAGGTACTGGGCCATACACTGTCATCCCAATTTATAGTGCTTATGTGGATGCTGCGTTTAGGCAGGTAGATGCAGAAACACTTCAGCTTTTTTTTTTCTTTTTTGTGATTTTTGGTTTGGTAATAGCTCCTTTTCCTAATCTACTTGTTATGCCATCATCACAAAAGACAATTGAAGAAGAAGAAAAAAAAATAATCTATTAGGATGTTCAAACACCTGTTAAAGAAAATAGGAGGTATTCAAACTTTTAAAACTAAATTGCTTGAAATACTAAGGAAAATAAATTGTATGGATAACAAACAGGGAGATTGATTTAATCTTAAATACTTCTTGTCTGAAGCAGTAATATTTCTCTCAGCCTGGTATTTATAATTGTGATTATTTATTTTTTTAAAGAAGGATAAAGAATTCCTCCCCTCAAACCTTCATGTGCACATCAGGCCTAGAGAAATTCTCTCCATGCTCTGCAGAGAGATACATGGTTACACATACAGACTGCTTTTCTCTGCAGTAGACATCATATTTTTCAGGAAAAAAAGTCTGGGTATCTCTAAACAGTTGGAAAACAAGCAGAGAGGTTAACTCTTTTGGACTATTGTTAATTTGTGTCAATTCTGCAGGGGCTGAGTGTCAACACATTTCTCCTCACAGAGAAAAGCAAGACACAATTCTTCCCAAGAATACTTCTGGGTTTCACATTCTCTGAACTTCAGAGAAAGAAAAAACAATTCTTATCTCCTTTGCTGCTCCTGTGTTGTTCACAAGTGGAATGCATAGTGGAAGATTGTTTACCTGAAGGGAACTGATAATTGGATTCTGGTGTGTTTTGATTCACTGGCCAATTGGATCCAGGTGTGTGTGTGTGTGTCAGGACTGTTGGCTGACAGTCATGAGATTCCATGCAGTGGAGAGCAGTGCTTGGCAGATTCAGTTTAGATATAATGTAATATGGATGTAATATAGTATAGAATAATACAGTATAATAAAGTCATTAATTAGCCTTCTGATAAGATGGAGTCCTCCTCATCATTCCTCCTTCATTGGGGGCAAAAATATCTACTATAGCTGGGGGCGAGGAGGATGCTTGTGACTCCAATCCTAAGAGCCGGTTAACGACACCGATGGATCGTGACCCTCGTGCTCTCCTAAAGACACCAACTCATCTCCAGGCAGACATCCACAGTCCCTGTTTTCCTTACAGCACACAGAGCTGCTCTCAGGGGTGGCAACCACTGCCAGAACTGGAGCTGGCCTGCACATGCCAGGGAGGATCATCTGCAGGGGGGAAAGTTTCTGCCTGGGAAGTCAGGATAACTAGGGCAGGCCATTGGAAAGCATTTTCAAGGGGAAAAAAGAAAGAGGAAGGAAAACAAGTTGTATAGGAAGAAATAAAATGTGAGAGAGGATCTGGATAAACAACCAAAGGAGACAAAGGGACAGATTAGGTAGGAGGACCCTGAGAATAGACTCAGAATAGACTGAGAGGTCAAGTAATATTAGAAAAGTGAGTACAGTATTAGAAAAGTGAGTACGTTAAGGAAATATGAAAAACACAAGATTTTTTTTTTTCTGTAACAACATGCTTTTTAAACAGTTGCATCATTATTTCAGCATTAGAACTTATAATGCTGTCTGTATTTTAAACTCTGTCCCTGCATATATCAGGATTCTGCATTAGCATTCTGGCATGTGATTTAGAGTTTTGTACATTTAAGAGATTGCATGTTTCAGTTTTAAGAAAATAGTTTCCAATCTGAGGAAGTATGTGCTACATGCTTCTTACACAAAATCAAAAAAAGTTACCTAGATTCTTGATGGAGATCTAGAGATCTATAAAGTATAAGCACTGTCCTAACCCAAAAGGATAGTTGTCTAATTCCAAGATTTATAGGTGTACTGATACCTGGGCACCTGGGTCATGTTCCAGATCACATAGGCAATTAAAGAAAACTTAAATATATAAAACTTGGTATTGACAATTTAAACACATCACTCCCCCCCCCTCTGCCCACCCCCAAAGAATATGGTTGTCATAATCAAATAGGTCTTGGCAAGCAATTTGGGAGACTTGAGATATCAAACTATTTATAGTTTTTTTGTCTTGCTTTGTTTTGTTTTTTTTTTTTAATAGCCAAATGTACCAGAAGAAGGGATCCAGTTTACCTCAGCAATCTTTTATTAGACCATAGTTTTTTATTTCAAAGAATGAACCTGACATCAGAACTCTTTAAAATGAGGGACTATTAGTTTTGGTATTTGCTTACCTAAAACCAGGCTAAGGGAATATCCAATAGGAGCCTGAGCCCAAGCTAGACCATAGTCTGGGACATACACAGCTTCTGCTGTCCCATTGATGTAACCTCCTCCAACCCATGTGGCTGAAAAGGAAGAGATGGAAAAGTCTTTTATGTCCACAAAGAAAGAAAAGATCACACACTGTACAATAAAATCATCATTATGTAGGATATGTCTATTTTTTATTATATCAACAATACAAGTGCCAGGCATGGCATTTTTTATTAAAGGCAGGCCTAATTTGAATATACAGCCTAAGCAGATGAAAAAAGAAGTCAAAAGGACTGAGGCAATCATCAAAGTGTCTAAGTCTCTATATAGTCAGTGAAGATGTGAGGGTTGAGTCCCCCACTACTTATTTACTATTACTATTTTGTTTGTGTTAGTACAAATGAAGGAGAGGTATAAGGGGGAGTCTAAAGAAGAATGTGTAAATTAGACAAAAGTTTGATGAACACATTATTTACCAGGACCTTCATGAAAAAAAAAAAGCTTTTAAACCTTGTTAAATTTTTTTTGTTACATGAAGTATACTAATAAATTCTGAGTTCTCAAAATATTTCTGCATAGAGTTGTGGTGCTTTCTTTGTCGCCGTATAAGTTCTAAACTTTAATTAATTTAATTTATTTTTCCTTGAGCCATATTCAATAAAGGATATGTGCTATCTCCAATATTTCTGATTTTATCTCTCTCTCCAAAAAGCAGTATTTTTAATATACTGTCCTCTGACACTTAACGAGTTGATTCTCTGCCTTTAAAGGAAGTTTCTACATTTGAAAATTTGGGATCAACAGTATATATGAGAGAAAAACTCCAACACAGAAATATGTTGTGATTACATCTGCAAAAATATTTCATAACAAATCAAGTAATAAAGTTCATCTCTTCCTGTTTTCAGATTCCATGAAAAAAAAAAAAATTATTATCTCTGATGTATAATGAGCAAGTTTTAGAAATCCAAGTTTGCAGTTTGAACAAGGGCAGACAGACCATTACAAGTCCTAGATTTCTGTAATGATGTTTTGGTTTGCATCAGAAGCCTTTACTTTTTCATGTAAGAGTAGTTAGGGTTTCTGTGTAAAAAGTCACAATAGTTGGAAATGTATTTTTCTTAAACATTCCTCAGAATTTTACCATCGTCCACCGTTGTGCAGGCAAACTTGATTTTGTGTTTAAGACAAACAATTGGAGAGAAAAACAAATTAGGAAATTTGATAAAATTCTTTAAGAAATTTCATTAAGAGCTAAATAACTACTCTCTTCCACTTGACTGTGATATCTCTCAAGTACTACTAGAGAGTATTTTGCTGAATTTCACTATGGCTTTAGAATCAAAGATCTACAGCAACCAGAGAATTACAATTGTCCCCCTTTCAGCAATTTGAAGCACAGGAATGAGCCATTCTGTTGTTGGAAATGGTATAATGGACTTTTATGAGGGTGTGCATGCAGAGAGAGGCTGCAACAAAAGAAGTGACCCAAGGAGACCTGTTACAAGTAGAATTTTGGTTATCAAGAACTATTGTGTACTACAGAGATAAGGCATGAGTGATGCTCATACAGGGCCACATGGGGAAGATGGGTTAAGGCTGATTCTTAACAAGAAGAGCAAGGATACATAATCTACATAAAAAGTTGTCAAACATTTGGGATTTTGTGACTCTTTACAGTGTGAATTAAGATAAAGGAGAATATCATACTTTGTTTACTGGATTTCTAGAATTATGGAATTGTTTGGATTGAAAGGGACCTTAAAAATCTTCTATTTATAACCCCTCTGTGATGGGCAGGGATGCCACCCACAAGGCCAGGTTGCTCAAAGCCCTGTCAAACCTGTCCTTAAACACTTCCAGGGATGGGCAACCACATCATCTCTGGGCAACCTGTTCCAGTGCCTCACCATCCTCACAGCAAAGAATTTCTTCCTAATATATAATCTAAATCTACCCTTCAATTCCCTACCTCTACATCTCATCCTTTTACTACATGCCCTGATCCCCATCTTTTCTATAAACCTCCTTTAGGTACTGTAAGGCTGCTATCAGGTCTGCACAGATCTTTCTCCTCTCCAGGCTAAACAACCCCAACTCCTCCAGCCTGTCTCAGAGATGAGTGTTGGGCCCAGTCCTGTTTAATATCTTTCCTGATTATCTGGATGAGGGGACTAAATCTACAATTAGCAAATTTGCAGATCACACAAAGTTGGGTCAGAGTGTTGATCTGCAGGAGTGTAAGATATGAACAGGCTGGAGACATGGGCTGAGGCCAGCTGCATGAGGCTCAACAAGACCAAGTGATGAGTCTTGGGTTTCGGTCACAACAACCCCAGGCAGTGCTACAGGCTGGGGACAGTGTCTGGAAAACAGTCCAGCACAAAAGAACTTGGGGATGCTGGTCAACAGCAGATGAACATGAGCAAATGTGTGCCCAGGTGGCCCAGAAGGCCAATGGCAGCCTGGCCTGCATCTGCAATAGTGCAGCCAGCAGGACCAGGAAAGACATTATCCCCTTGTATTCAGCACCTCTAGTACTGTGCCCAGTTCTGGGACCCTCGCTTTTAAAAGGGCTGAAGTGTGTCTGGCAAAGGGTGACAAGGCTTGTGAAAGGTCTAGAAAAGATGTCTGATCAGGAACAACTGGGGCAGCTGGATATGTTTAGTCTTGAGAAGAGTAGGACCTTATTGCTCTCTACAACTGCCTGATAGGAGGATGTGGTGATGTGGGGCCAGTCTCTTCTACCATGCCTGCAGTAAAAGCACAAGAGAAAACAGTCTTAAGCTAAGGCAGGTGAGATTCAGATTAGATATTAGAAAACAGTTTTGACTGTTAGGGTAGTCAGACATTGGAATATCTTTTCCAGGGAGCTGGTGGAGTTACTGTCCCTGGCAGTGTTTATGAGGGTCTGGATCTGGCGTTGGGTGATGTGGTTTAGGGGCTACAGTGGTAGTGCTGGCTTGAAAGCTGGACTCTATGATCTTGAAGGTGTCTTCCAATCCCCATGATTCTACAATTCTGTGATTCTAAGTTTTTCTCAACAGGGCTGCTCTTAATCCACTCATCACCCATCCATGTTTGGATTTGCCCAGATCCAGGTGGAGGATCTTACACTTGGCCTCTTTCACTGGGCCAGGTATCTTTGTATGGGATCCCTTCCCTCTAGAGTATTAACCACAGCACTCATCTTGGTGTCATCTGCAACCTTGTTGAGAGTGCCCTCATTCCCCTTGTCCATGGCCCCAACAAGGCTATTGAACAGTACTGGTCCCAACATGGACCCCTGAGGGACACCACTCTCTACGGAAAAATCCGTGACTACCTGGGATGTGTGTTGCTTATTGTGTCCTAAGCAGCACAATCTTGTGGAATAAGCACCTGTATCCAATAGCAAAGAGTAAATATTTACAAAGGGAAGCTTATTTGTGTCTTTCCCCAGAAAATGCCTAAGCATGAATTCTACATTAATTATATACTTGGTTACAGGTAGGAATAATATCCCATAGTCGGGGGCAGATGTCCATCACTGCTGCAGCTGTGGTGAATGGGGCTTCCAGCTCCAGCATTGATTTGCCAACAGTTGCTACAGAGATATCAGATGTCCCCCAAGGGGCACTTGGATGACATGCCTAGCTCCCTTATTTTCTTCTGGAGGAGATCAAGTCAATTCCCTTCTGTGTGATGTTGTAGGGGTCATTACCTGCCACTGTCTGCCCTGCAGACAAATACTGCTGTGTAAGGTGGCATGAAGGATTTAGCCCTTATTTTTAATTTTATTTCTTGATTTCTGGATTGGTGTTTGAAAAATTGCTGCTAATCAATTTTTCTGTGCACATGACTGTTCTGGAACACCTGTCAAGGACCACAGAGCTCTAGGAAGGTGTTATATGTCTTTTTCTGAGGGGGTGAATGGATAGTCAGCACGTACACTGACACAGGTAAACACATTAGAAATGAAATAAAGGGATAAGATAGGATGGGATTTCAGCCTTAGATATTAATTTTCTGATCCTCATTTGCTAAACCACAATTTAAAGTTAGTTTAATACCATTATTTTTGGTGAAATTCTTTTTGTTTTTACCTAAATCAGCCAAAAGGAATACAAATTTAATAATCTATGGAAGCATTCATGTGGTAATCTATTTTAATCTTCTCTTTGCCTGCCATCTGAAGAACAAAAAAATGCAGCAAATACCAACATCCATTTAAAACATGCACTGTAAAAAATGATCAGACAAATACTGATGGTAAGGAGTGAAATTTTTCTTCTAGTTCCTGTAAGACACACAGAAGTTGATCTTGGAGTTCTTGATATATAGTGATATATACTAGGAAACCAAATTTTTCGCCACTTCTTCAGGAAGAATTCCTTGTCTGAGCACTCAAATTATTTAATAAACTCATCAAGTTCTGTAAAATGAAAATACTGATCCAAGGATTAGAATAAAATAGAATCGTGTAATTTTTTTTTTCATGTGGAAGGGTTATGTAGCTCTATCCAACTAAAATGCAAAAAATTACATCAATAGATTATTACCTTTTGGGTCATGTTTGTGAGCATTTAGTTATGTAATCTCAACTATTTCCTTTGGGGTTTAGACTCAATCACTAAAATCAAATTAGATTAAATTTTCTTGCAGATATCACTCCTTAAAAAAATCATTCACAAAAATAAGGAATACTAGTATTTAATGCAGCATTTTATCTATAATTATATAAAAATTATACACAGATTAAATGCGTCTACTGTGGTACAATGTTATTTCATTTCAATATAAGCTGCTGTGATCCATCCACAATGCAACCTTTTCACTCCTTCCATTTTCTTATTTGCAGACACACTCAACCTTCAACAGGCTTTGTGTTCAGCATTTCAGTAGCTGGTTGATACAGCTTTTTCTTCTTCAGGATCATAGCATATACCCAAAAATATCTACAGCTGTTATTCATAGGTAGTGCTTTAAGATTTTTCAATGTTGTTTAGAAAATCAGCTATAATTACTCTGGAATATTGACTTTGGTGCTTATGTCCTGAATTTTATTTCAAATTTATAGGCTACGTGCTGTCATCCTCTCCACTAAGTAACCCTAGAAACTTCTACCACTTTCATGGCCAATACCCATGGAACATTGTAGCGTTTGTCACAGGCAAAAAAGAGAAAATAAGGCCTTATCTCATAACCCGAAGTGCTTCATGTACATAAAAACAATGTCCTTTCTGGAGATCTTTAAAACAATTCTTGTTTTCCTGTTGTGGGGAAGCTTTGCTTTCTAATTTATATTTAGATAATTAAACCTGGAAAACATAAAAATGATGTTGGAATAGTCATGTATTGCGAATAGTCAGGGTCGCGATGTGCGAAATCAGCATCAACCATTTTTGGAAAAGCAAGCATTTCAAGCATACCTTGAAATGTATGTCCCTTTTGTAAAAATTATCAAGCTGTAAAAATTATTGTCGATTTTCATCAGCTTACTTTCATAACTGTTTTGTTATGATTTTAGAAATCGAGTGCCCCAAACACCCTGAGACAAAGCTCGGACGAACCTCTGGCTCAGCAGATTTGTGCCCAGATCTCGCTTTATGCACCAGCCATGGTTCACTACAACTGAAAGGTAAGTGAGTTGCCATATCATGCATTAATTGCCAGACTTAAGGAAGGCATAGGGGAAAAAGAGTGTCAGCCTTGACAGTATAAAATCCGCGCTAGTTTGAGCTACCCAAAGGCTTTGGGATCAGTCTGATATTCTGCTGCAAAGACGAGACACTGCGCCATCTCTAGAGCTTGCACAACACAGGATGAACATGTGCAGGTGTGAATTGTGGTGGCTACAGAACATGCTTGAGATACAGGAAATCCCAGTTCAGGTCTCATCTGTGTTTCAGTTGTTACACAAAATATTCCTGCAAAATAGGATTAAGGAGACCAGAATCTGTATCTTCTATATGCAAAGCCATTAGTCGTAGCCACTTCTGTGGGAAATGCTTTTTTATCTCGACTCCCCTGATTTAATGTTTATTGTTTTGTGGCAACCAATATTTCTGCAAAATATTCAATACCCTTGAAAACATTTCATTCAGCAGAAAGCAGTCTAACCAGCTCTCACTAGGAGCAGACTCTCATCATACCCTATGCACCAGTAGCTGATGGATGCGTGATACAGTAAATTACAGCACAGTGCAAAAAGTAGAACATCTGACTGTATTCAAACTTTATTGACTTTTACAAACATTCTTTACTCAATATCTAAACATTCAGTCTTCAAATGAGCAAAATGCCCCTGCAAAAGAATGTGAAGTTATCTCAAATAAAGAATGCAGATTTTTGGCCCAAGTTTTACCTGGCTCTTCCTTATTTGATAATTGTGAAAGCAGAGCAGGGCAAAACAGCAAAATATAAATATAGTCAGATAAATTTAATTTGACAATTGAAAGGGCTTTGCCTGAATAGGATTTAGATTAAATTAGGAATGAAAAAAACCCCCATGCCTAAATATTAATTTGCCTTAATATAATGGTGGGCAAATTCACTCTTCCTATAACGCATTTTTGTTTCAATACCATAATATAAGTTTTGAGATTTTGGACAGTATTGTGAATATTTTATTTACCCAGGTAAGACAGCTGGTTTGACTGGCTCTGGGAGTCAGAGAGCATCGTTTACAAAATCAGTGAAGAACTCTTCCTTCACCCAGCCTTTTCTTACTGATACTAATATTGAGAGTAAAGCATTATTTTGTCCAATTGCTGAAAAAGAAGCTAAAGAATCCACAAAATAAGTTTGCTGAAATCTGTACAGTTACAAGTCTGGAGTTATGTCAATTTTCTTTTAGAAAGTTAATTTATGTTTTACACCCTCCCCTTCCCAACAATCTTTTTCCCTATAAACTTTGTTTTACTCAGATTAAACAAACCCAATAACACACAAATATGGATGGTTTTAAAAACTATAACAATTATTTTAAGACTTTCTAATTAATCTATATGAATTCCATACTTTTGTCCCAAACATATCTGATCTACAGATGATTATGGATTGAAAATATATGTAAACTACTTAAAATATATTCTTTCTGTAAGATTTACAAATATTTGTTGTTTCTATACAGATGCTACATTTGGCTGTTCATTAAACAATTGGAATAAAAAGTATATCTACTTTCCCCACTTTGCATTACTCAACATGCAGCTTGCAATTCATTCAGATGGAAAACTGACAAGTTTTACACTGACTAGGAAACAGTAAGGTGTTTTTTTACATACCTGTCATTGTAAATCCACCAACTAACAAACCAATGTCTCTTCCACCGACTATAATGGCTTCGCTGCGATCTCCTTCGCTGCCGGTGTTCTTGGTTTTCCAAGCAGCCCATATCCCTACTGCCAGGATTGCCAGGTAGAAGACAACTATGGCCACCAGTCCCTCCACATGGAAAGCCATGTTGAAATCCCAACTGTTTCTTTTATTGCTATTTCATTAAGACCTCTGGAGAGAATGCAATAATAGGTCTGCTTTTAGCATGCCTGCTTTTTAGAATCAGTGTACAAAAACCCTCAGATGGTTTTTAAAGAGACTATTCCGATGAATTTATGAAATGAGAATTTCAGATGTAATTGAGATTGATGTCGCATGCCAATTAAAACGCCTGTGGAGCAACAACCAGTGGTTACAGTCTCTGAACACAAAAGGGAATGAATGACGTGGCTGAAAGCTAAACTATCCTTAGAAGTCAGTTATTGAGCACTGAATTATTTTGGTATCACCAAGTCCTCAATGTCTGGGAACTTTTCAGTCACAGACTAGTATGGTACAAAAGATAGAAAAATCTTGGCCATGTGGACTATTACAAAAATCTCTATTTTGAAGACAAAATTGCTTCAAGTAATACTAGAACTACGTATAAGTAATAGCTACAACAGCAAAACACATCTTTTACATGTTTGTATTGGAATGCTGAGTCTGGTCCCCCTTGTAACATCTCCCGTACTTTAAAGTCTGCGATTTGTTTTTTGCAACATTTAATTGTCCAGCATGAAGCATATGAATCTGTTCTCTCACGATACGGGAAGCAAACGGAAAGCTTAAAAGCTGTCGGAAGGCAGAAATGTTGAAGTATACGAACCACAGCGGGGGAAAACTCCCGAGCGGCGCGGACAGCGGCAGCCCCGTACCCAGCCTCTCCCGGAGCCCCCTCCCCACGCTGGCCCCGCCGCTCCGCGCTCGCTCTGGCGCCGGCGAGCCCCGTCCGCGCTCCTCCCGACGGCTCCGCGGCGGGGCCAGCCGCCCGAGCCAGCCCTACCTCCGGGGCTCCGGGGGCTCCGCGCTCCGCCGAGCGCGGCCGCGCCCCCGCCCCGCGCCCGCGGCAGCAGCGCCCGCTCGTCCGCCCGTCCGCCCGCCCGGAGCGCCGTCGGGCCGGGAGAGGAGCCCGCCGCCCGCCTGCGCTCCGCCGCCCGCCTGCGCTCCGCCGCCCACCTGCGCTCCGCCGCCGCGCTGCCCCGCAGCCCGCGGGGCACGGCCGCCCATCCCGCGGGGCGGTGTCGGGGCCGAGCCGCCGGGGCCTTTGTCCCCGCCCGGGGCTTTCCCGCTGGAAGGAGCGAAGGAAGAAGGATCGTCTCTTGCCCCGCGGTGCCGACGGTGCGCCGAGTGCTGAGGCTGCGACGGGGGTCTCGTGGATTAAAAAGAGGAAAATCTCTTTATAAAGGAGGAGGGTTCAGTGGGGTGAGAGGACCGCGTCCGTCAGAGCTGGGGGGAGGAAGGGGGAAAGACGTCAGAGTGATAGGGGACGTTGGGGGGAAGTAAGGATGACTCAAGGGAGACTGATTGTCGTGTCATGGCAGGGAAGCAGGGTTAGGAAGTGAAATTGAGGTGAGAAGACAAAAGGGAATGAGGGGAAACAGGAAGGAACAGGATCATATTGAACCAACGGGGAAGAGGAAGAAATGAAAGGGCCGATCTAAAAAGACATACTGAAAAGAGCAATGGAGAAAGGGAAGAGAGCAGAGGTAGGGGGAGGGCAGGTGACCCCTGTGCTCCCCTTGCCCTCCCTAGCAGCCTTTCCTTGCCACCCCTGGGCCTGGCACTGGGTGAGAACCAAGCCAAGGTATGTCTATGAGAAGCTGGTCAGGACCATCTTTTGCCACACCTCCCTTCCAAACCTGACTGAAAATGCACATCTGGGACAGTTAGTTCTTTGGGAGACTCCTTTTTTTTTTTTTTTTTTTTTTTTTTGCCATGTCTCTTATAAACCTCACCTGCAGAACTAGGGTCATACCAGCTTTCCTGTGCTTGCACTTTTGCTCTCTGTCTCCAAATGATGCTGGACAGTGAGTTTGTAAGTTCTGAGAATAAGAGTACATGTGCAAAGAGGACCCACATATGCCCTTGCCCCAGATTTGAGAAAGGGAAGATCATGCTGAACTGTGGCATTCTCTGTCAGCTCTTGAGAGGCAGTTAACATGGGCCATTGGCTCATGTAACTTGAAAAGTAGAAATAAAAAGCCCACAGGAGTGCAGAACTGCTACTGGCAAAAGAACTAACTTGAAGTAGAAAATCTGAAATCATTCTCAATTCAAGAGGAAAACTGCAATATGGGAAGATGTAAAGTCAGAGAGGAGAAAGGTGGCAATTCATAAAAGCTCAGTCTACTGCAAAGAACGACCCAAGGGCTGGTGCTTTCCTGCATATTTGCCAGCTGCCTGGCCAGCTTGGCTACAGAGCAGCTTTGTCTGCCTGCTCACGAACTGCTGAGCACATCACACCCCGTTAGCCCCAGCCATTGGTGTGCCTCACGAGCAATAAATTATGATTGTGCACTCATAACTTGATTGTGTGCATAAGACTGCTTTCAGGTCTGGCCTCACTTGAGAAACCCACAGAAAGGTGGCCAAAGAACAAAAGGTTAGGATTGTTACTATTTTTGTCAGCCAGACTCATGGGTTGTTCAGTGATTCTGTTGGTGCAATGTTTGCCTTTTGCAGTAAACACCTCCTCCCAGTAGTAGGCAGCTGAGACATATCTTAGGCACAGGTGAGCATCAAGGCACCACCTAAACAGAAATACTGCCATGGAGGAAACACAAATAGGTATTTAAAGGTATTCTATATATATATATATACACATGTGGTTTATATATAAGTAGTAGGTAGAAGTCATACACCTCCTTGGAAACAATGAGGGTGTCTCTGTTAGGAAGAAAATTCTAGCAATTAAAATATGATAGAAAATGCTTGGATGCTAAAACGGATGTTGAACTAAATTCACACAAAGTTTTAATTACATTTTAGTCTGGTTTTGTTCAGCTTACTACAAAAAACAATATAGTCATGACCATGCAATGCATGGCTCAAGCCTGTCTTAGGAAAATTAAAAAAAATATTAACCAATGGAAAAAAAATCCCTTCTGAAATTAAATCCCAACTCTGATCTTCAATGAAGCCTGTAAAATAGTTTTTTTTGTACTTAGGTTATATTTCTTATAATTTCTTTTGTACTTGGGCTATATTAACACTTTTTATGGAAGTGGAATGGGAAAACTGTTTTTCATTATAATTATTTCTAGAAAATATTTAATTTTAAATAACTTATATTTTAATGAAATTCACTAAAACAAATCCTGAGCACCTACTATTTTTAATACGTAGACTCTTGTGACAAGTTTTGTCTCTTTGGTGCTCTAGAATGATTTGCAACTGTCCACCCCATGAATCAACTTTGTCCAAGTTTTGCCTTACATTTTACTCCTGTAATTAACTATAAATAAGTTAAATTGCACATTCTCTCCTGAGATTTCCATTTAAGCTCTAGGTTCCTTTAGTTGATGTGGCTTTGGGCTTTGAAATTGCCTTCACTTGGATGTAAACTGAGAAGGACTGAGACAATTATTTTAGTGAATATTAGTGGATTTACTATGCCTCCTTTTCTCATCTACTACTGCTATATCAGGTTGATTTCTAGTGCTTTCCTTTGGGAAGGGACTGTGCTATGCTGGATCCCTGTGTGCATTTTTCCAGCTGCACCCAACAGCATCCATCTGCCACACCCCACAGAGCTCAGCTCTCATGACAGCCAAGGGTGTGTGCAAATGAGTACAGCAAATTTTATGCCCCTTGGGAAAAGATGTGCTTTGGTGCTAGAGATATTTCAAGCAACTGGAGGACTGATTCCACATGAGACCTGACCACATTTCCAGAGAGAATAACTTCTGCTGTCGAGACACTTCGAACTGAGGTCATCTCTTCCAGGAAAAGAGAAAATACATTGGTAGCTTTTGTCTTCTAAAGCAATTGCACTGCATCTAAACATAATTTTCTTTTTTAAAAGAACATAGCTAGAAAATATGCTGTTTGAAAAGAAATCCTTAAGGTTAGCTTTACTTGTATTTAAGGAAGGACACACTTTCTAGTGAAAGGTGTCCCTGCTCATGGCAGGAGGATTAGAACTAAATGATCTTTAAGGTCCATTCCAACCCAAACCATTCTATGATTTTATGAAAGTTGACATGGACTCCTGCTTTTAATCACATTTTTTGATACAGGTATTAAGGAGTGTTTTGGGGAAACAATGGAAATTAGCTTTCATGTACAATACCTGCCTTTTAAGCAAAGGTGTTACAATATTTACAAAGAGTTATTGAGCCCACATATGGTTATTTGGACTCCCTCTTTGCATTTTTAAATGTATGTCCATCACCAAGACTTTTTTTGGGAAAAGGTTACTCTGGATACAACTAACTGAGATGATAAAAATAAAAATTTTTTTTTCAGGGAAAATTAGGCTAAACAGTCACCCAGTTTTGTTTTGTTTTTTAATGCTTCCTGCTACTTGGTCTCTCAGAGGAGTTTGAATAATAGGAAAGTGGGGGAGAAAAACTGAAGTCTACTGCCAGTAAACATTTATACAGAGGGCTGTAATTCCCAATATTAAAGAAGTCACGGGTTTAAGTCATGATGTAGGACATTTAAGCAATAAATATTTATATGGCTATATAAACTTCTGAGGCAAAATTCTAAATTTTCATAAATTTCTATGTTTAAAAATTTAATGGTTTAATTATGCATTTTATGATTTTGGATTACAGAGTTACTTAAAAACATTATCATTATTAAGAAAAAACAATCAACACCAACAACAACTAAGCAACCCCAGGGTTTTGAGGTGTGTTCCCTTAATAAAAGAAGCTGTTACTACAGCTTAGTTTAAGGCTTGCATTTAGAATTTTCCTGACACTTAAAGATAGGTTTATTTACAATTATTCCCAAAAAAGGGCCTCACTCTCCTGTGGTTTTTGGGGCAGTATGCATCTTAGATTCCTTCCACAGTTTCCTGATTAACCATGGAGTTCCCAAAGAAATTATCCATCCATTTGCTCTACAGCTCACAAAAACCCCTCCTGGATGAGAGCTCTTTTGGAAGATATATTTGATGGTTATTTGCAGTCTCT